GAATTTTCATTCAACTATTAAAATCGCCAAGAGTATTTTTGTACTAACAGTTCACGAGCTCAAGGCAATTGTAGGCTAAATAGATTCCAATTCCTGCTCCATCCACCTTTCTGCTACCAGTGCTGTTTGGGTCTAGGATTTGGGAAAGAATTTACAGACTATAGGAGCATTCAGACATCTACAGGTGTCCTGGAAACATTAATAGTCACTCGCCTCTGTGGCTGTCATCTTATCTCTACACCTGTTTCTGCTGAGCAGAACAGACATGGGAAGGAAGTGCAGACACAAGTTCATTGTGCAGAAACCAAACAAGACCAGTCCACTGGGAGAAGGTTGGTCTCTGTGCCTCCAGAAGTAGCAGGGACTTGAAGGGTATGCTGGGAAGGGGCTGCCTGGGGTGGGCATGGGGGGATCTTGTGGCAGACTGGTCATCTTCCAGGCTCTGAGTTCTCAGATTGAGCAGTAAGTGGGAGTGAACTGGAGAGGCTGCCATTGGTAAGGTTGGGAGTGGAATCCCTCAGAGATCTGTGAGGAGTGGCAAATGACATAAGTGTTTTTCATGGCCACTTTCCCACACGCTGCCCGGGTGTCTGTTTTGCCGGTGAAAGGAAGGGCTCACCACAGAGCCCACGCTGTGTTCTTCCATTATAGGCTGTCTGTGAGGGAACATATCACACATCTGGAACTTAGAACTAATTAAACATTTTGAAACCTTGACTTTGGCCGATGAGGATGTATTCATGGAAGGAAGGCTGAATGGAAGATGGTGCTAGCCATCCCACAAATAGAAGTGAGTGTTATATTAGGAACCCAAGGGTAGTACAAACACATCTCCCCAGAGTTCATTAAAAATAGTCCAGACATTCATGCCTCCAGTATGATTCAGTCCAGGGCCCCATTGGACCAAGGAACAGATCAGCCTGCTCCACACAGACCTGTTCCCGCTGTCCCCCTCTGTATGGCTCAGACTTGTTCCTGCTGTCCCCCTCTGTATGGCTCTGACCTGTTCCCGCAGTCCCCCTCTGTACGGCTTAGAGTTTCTTGGAGATGTTGCTACACAGAGATGCTGTCATCACTATCGTCATTGGCACTGTTTTTACCATAACAAAGCGAAGCGCTGTAATCCCTTCCTGTAAGCTTTGAATTTATTATTAAATTTCTGGTGTTTGGGTGGCAATGACTCATGCACTACACCTTGAACTACAGTCCCGAAAAAGGAACAGGAGCTTGGAAAATGGGTTTAACCTCCAGTCCTTCACTTGTGTGCCTTACTTCTGTTGATATTCGTATTGAAACCAAGGGAGACCTGACCAGCGGGCCGTGCTCAGAACACAGGAAACATTGGCAGCCCTCAAAAGCATCCTATTACCTTTCAGAATGCTGCTGTTCCTGTGGGCTTAGAAAGTATTCCCATCTCAATATTTCTTTCATAATTTATTCTCTTCTCGGTGTCCTATTCCTAACCGACCCCTCAAAAGCAAAAGCAAAACATCTGGTGGCGTGCTTGCCGGGCTCCCTTCCATTGTCCCCTCCCTGTCCCCCACCACATAAAGAAAAGCTGTGAGATTTGGGACAGAGGCTTCTGTTTAAAATAAGTGGCATGCCTGACTTCTGGGGAATGGGGAAGGGAGGTGCGGAGGGCAACGAGAGTCAGTTTTCCACAGAGCAGGACCCTGAGCTTCCCTCATCCGTGGGGACCACCCCCTGTTTAATGGTTTTCACTTTGAGAATCCCCTAGTGCTGGATATTTTTATTCTTCCTATTTTCCCAGTTTTACTTTTCTATCTCTTGCAACTTAAATGAGAAAATGATCTGTTCTCGTTGACTGTTTCGCCCCAACTTCAAAGAGTAGGTAGACTTTAAAATATTTTAATTTGATGTTATCTCATGCATGCATATGTATGACAGGGGTGTCTGTATCAGCATGTACATGCCACGACAGACATATGGAGGTCAGAAGACAACTTTGAGGAGTCATTTCTCTCCTCCAGGGATCAAACTCAGATAGTTGGGCTTTTGTTGAGCCATCTCTCCCACCCTAGCCCTGTACCTATAGTGTTGTGCTATGGGTCCTACACCTAGAGACCCTGATGTAAATTGGGTGGGGCTTTAAGAAGCAGTGTAGGGATCCTGACATGTCCTTGCTGCTAGCCAGGACTTGTTAAGATTCTGACCTTAGGGACCGGGCACCCTGGATTTCATTTTTGTCTGCTAGAAGAGCTGTCTCTCATGCCTGGGCTGAGTGGCTCAGATTCTTATCAGTCTCCTGTTGCCCCAGGTTGCCCCTGGGTATTACTGTTAGGGTGATTGCCTTAGTCCACCTCCAGGGATCCTATTTATGCTTCAAAACCCCATCCTACCACATATGTCTTAGTTTCCTGATGCTCTGGTACCTGTGGACTCCTGATGTTGCTGGGAAGCGTTGGTGCCTTAGACATCCCTGCCAGGGCTCTGAGCTCATGTTTGAAACCTCAGGGCAAGCTGTGCAGTTGCAGACAGCTCAGCAAGGGCAGGGCAGCTCCCGTGAGTGTATGAGGCAGCTTTACAGGAGAGCTTGGGATGGAGGCTAAGAAACATCAGTTCTCATGAAAAGGAAGAAAGTGGGACTCTTTCAAAGGGAGCAATGCTCTGTACTGTTTACACAGTGGAGATCTTATACACCCTTGCTTGGAATTTGAAGTAATGGGTTATTAGATCACTTCATTCAGAACTCCCTGTGCTGTCTTGGACCCAAAGTATAAAATGCAATGTAAATAAAGATCTAAACATGGAAGAACAAAGTAAAAGTTCTTCAAGGGAAAAAAAAGTTTGGGGAATATTAGCCACAGAGAGGTGAGTAGGGACCGTTGATACCATAAAAAGATCATCTGTAGAGAAACTCACAGAAGAATTTACAGAAATAAGAGTTTGTAACACATGAAACAAAATCTTGTAGCTATAAAGTATAAATATTTCTCATAAATGCATCAGAAGTTTATGAAAAAACTACAAATAGACTAATGCAAATTAATTATAAGAAAGGGAAGCATAAATTACCAGAGCTCCAGAAAAGGATCAGAAATTGCCATCAATTGGAGGAGATGCAATATAAAATAAGAATAAATAAATAGAAGATAAGGTACTTATTTATGCTTGATTTATACAGGGTCTAACCATAGTCGTAGAGGCTGGCCTCAACTCAGCATCTTCCTGCCTTGTCCTCTTCAGTGTTGAGTGGGTTTGTACCTGGTTTGGTCATCTTTCCTGGCATGTGCACAGGTTTGCCTATTAAATTGGTGTAAGTCGCAAGGGGCTGGAGAGATGGCTCATCCATTAGGAGCACATGTTCTTGCAGAGGACCAAAGGGCAGTTCTTGGCACCCAAGTTGTATAGCTTACAACCATCTGTAGATCCAGCTGCAGGGTATCTGGTGCCCTCTTCTGACAGCTACAGGCACCTGTACTCACAGGCACATAGCCACAGAAAATACAACTTGATCTTCATAACCTTTCATGTTCAGGAAAACGTAATGTAGAAAGAACAGTCAAGTGAAGGGTTAACCAGAGGTCCTCATGGCTGTCTTATGGCTGTAATCCCTTTCTTTCTGCTCTGAGTCTGTTAAACAACATGATCTTTTGACAAAAGGAAACACTGGTAAATGTGAGGTCCTGCTTTAACCTGAAGAGCAGTTTGTGACCACTCTGTTGTTTCTTTGTAAAATACGAAGTTGGTCAAATTTAAGATTCCATCTTCATTTCTAAGCTCACTTTGGCCTGCACAGAATGAACTTCCCTGCCTTCTTCATGCTGTGTACATAGGTGTCTGTCTTTGGATTTTTGACTAGATGGATGGCAAAGATTCCCAGAGCCCTACAGGTTCTCTTACTGTCCCCTGAAGCCAGTGGAGATCTGTCTTGCCAGTAATTGCTGTCCTCAGGGAAGGCCCCCTCAGAGTCATGGACATGAGCACTTCCTCTAGGCCTGAGTATGTTCCTGAGTCAGTCTTTGTTCTTCCTTTTCCTGTTGAAGTCATTTAACTACCTGCTGGGCACCACCACATGCTAGACACTGAGAATGCAATGTAAGCCACAGCAGACTTATGATCATAGTGTCATGAGAAACACTGACTGTACACTCAGCTCAGTATCGTGGCAGAAATGCTGAATCAGGGAGGGACTCCAGACATGCATTAATAACAGGCGAAACTCATTTGTAATGTTAGCGCTGGAACTGGGAACCTTACCACTCAGACACTGAGCCTGCAGGATGGGGATGTGCTTTCTAAGTCATTTACAAAGGCGTATCCTCCCAGGACTGGGGTCTAAAGCTGGCCTCTTGGTATTTATTTTCTCCTTAATGCACAGTTGCACTCTGAGAAACTTGGCTCAACCAGAGAGATGAGTTCATTTTCTGGAGAGGTTATGTAGGTGTGGTAGTAGGGGCAGCCTCAGTCCTGAGAGACTTTCTCAACTCTGCTGGAGTGGAGAGATGGTGGGTGTTGCCTGACAGGAAGGGAATTGAAGAGACAGTCTGAGCTGTCCTGTGGTTGGCCCAACATGAACAGGTGCCAATTTAACAGCTGCCTGTGGTGAGCTCATAGGGCTGACCTTGAACTCCACTGTGTCAGTGAGGAAAGTTATAGCCAAAACCCTGGCTGTCTGGTAAAGCCAGCAAAACATTTTCTTAAGGCCTTCAGGTTGAAAACCAGGTCTTCAAACTTCACCAAGCTGAGCAACAGAGATCTGTGAGACAGGGCACTCCCAGAATCTTCCTTTGTCCAAAAAGTTATAATACCAGAGCCCTGCAAGTGACCTACGGCATCTGCAGGCAGAGTTCAAGCATCACCCCGGGCCCAGCCACGCACCAGTTTTATGACTGCATTTTCTTCTTCTCCAAAGTGTAGGCATAGCTTCTGTCTCCCTCACCAATGTCTGGGAGGGGTCATGACTGCCTGCAGCTGCTGAAACCTTAGTCAGAAAAATCACACAGGCAATTGCTCACAATACTTCTTCTTCTTTGCAGCGGAGCTGGAATTTGCACAGGTCCTCATCATTGTCGTGGTGGTGACGGTGATGGTAGTGGTCGTTGTATGCCTACTGAACCACTACAAAGTCTCCACACGTTCCTTCATCAACCGCCCCAACCAGAGCCAGAGACAGGAAGACGGGCTGCAGCCGGTAAGTATATGGGCCTGGGCCATCTGGCATGACCCTGGGCTCCATTCTGGAGCTACAAACCCAGACAGGGTATGGCAAGGGCTAGAGAGCAGGATAGCCCACCTGTCAGCTCACTGTGACACAGAGGTGTCAGGGATTTGGGTTGAAGGTTAACCCGGAAAAGTGTGCACATTGCTGCACACATTGTATGCATACGGTTCAGTGACTTCTCACGTAGACTCAGTATCCAGCCAGAAAAGTGACATAAATCCCGCCAACAGCTTGCTCAGGTCTTTCATCTATGAAAGTCTCTGTAGCCTGATTACTGGCCATTAGCCCTGATTAGTTTTGCTAGCCTTGGCCTTCACGCCCAAGCCTTCTCTTGTGTGTCTGGCTTCATTCAGGCAGCACTACATTATATAGAGAGCTTTACTTGGATCTGGTCCTGGAGTTGGTCCAGGGATAAGTAATGTCTTCGTACATTAGCAGATGTGTCTGCAGTTCTCCCATGTGAACCAGCTGGAGGGGACAGTGGGATGTGTGCCTCCTTAGGTGAACGGGGTATGTGGGGTGCCACAAGCCGTCCAGTGAGGTGCCTCAGTTTGCACTCCTTAGAACTTTCAATCTCTTGCCCTCAACCTCTTGCCTCTCCTCATAAAACAATGTGATGCATGGCTAAGCCATAATCAAACTTGGGAGGCCATGGGCTGCTGGGACATCATGTTCTCCACCTGTTTTGTAACCTGTACATAAATTCTGGTGACTTTTAGCAAGAGACATGGAAATAGTGCATTTAGTCAAGTTTAGTTTTTTTTTTAGTTGGATATTTTATTCATTTGCATTTCAAATGTTATCCCCTTTCCCAGTTTCCCCTCTGCAAACCCTCTATCCCATCACCACCTTACCTTGCTTCTTAATGTCAGTGTAGGACATAGGAGGTACCTAGTTTTCCTCTTCCATCTTTTTCTGAGTAGCAGGGGAGGCATACTTTGTGGAATGTCCTTTATTAGTAACCAGAGATGCCTGGTCACTTCCCAAGGGAGGCCTGCCTTAGGAGAGGCTGTTGTGAGTGTGGGGTAGAACCATTGTAATGGGTAGTGTGGAGTGGTAGCTATGGCTGGGACAGCTCTCAACAGGGCAGCATCATGCTTGCCCAGGGAGCCTAATGGCTTGGTGGTTCTTGGGGACAGAGGTAAGCACAACAGGGAACAGGAAGGGCCTGTGTTTGTGCTATATCCAACTCAGAGCTGAAGTCCAGACTGGGACAATGGTGGCAGACAGGATTTGGCCTAACAGTCCTACTTCCTGTCAACTTCCTCATTTTCTCTTGCTGCCTTCCTCAGTCTCTCCCGGTTCCCAGTTTTGCCCACCAGCTCCTCTGGGCCTGCTTGGTTTATATCTTTATACACCACCATGGCTTTCTGGGGCTTGTCCATGGCTTGTATCTACGACTTCCATCCCTGACAGTATGGTTCATTATGCAAGGACAGTTCAGATCTCAAAAGAGAGAACAAATCCAAAGTCCTGAGCTCAAAGAAAGCAGATGAGGAAAATCTCGTTGCAGCAGTTACTATAGGGCCTCACAGGGTCTTTGCCTTAATATAATGGTTGTGGGTAGCAGCCACTCGTTAGCAGATGTGGTCCAACTCTCCCACATCACCACCAAACACTAGGCCAACACACTCAGGTATGTGCGAATTACCAGCAATGCTTCAGTCCTGGGTGTTAGCTCTACTCCCTAAGTAAGACTTAGCATAGTTTCTAGATCTAAAATATCCCATCGTCCTGTCTTGCACTTTGTGCTCCGGGAGTCCCCAGATACTCAGTGTTCCAGTATAGGTCCCTTGTCTAGGCCCCTCCCTTGGTCTTCTTCTTGGACTTGCCTAGACTGAGGGGATAGACAGCTTCCCAGCGAATCTGTGTCTCCACGGTGCAGCCCCAGCACTAAGCTCTCTTGCTGTCACTGCCCTTAGGCATTGTATCCTGGCCGTACACACCAAGGTATAACCAAGAGGTATAGCAGAAAGACAACTTGACTGTGGCAAGAAACAAAGTTCTCGTGTGGCTTTACTTGGAAAAGGGCTTCTCCCTTACCTCATGGTCTACCCTGTGCTGGTCTCTCTGGGAGCATGGAGACCGTTGGCCAGGAAGCGGTAGCATGCTTACTGGCAGGGCCTCCCTTTTCTGGAAAGTGGGAAGGTGACTTTGAGAGCTCCTTCCAGGATGTACACTGAGTAGCAACGAAGATGGTCAGGAATTGGTGAATTTTACCTGCCGAGGGCGGCCCTGTTAGCAGGTGTAAGCTGTGTGCTGAGATCTGGGGTCTGCTGTCAAGGGTGAGCCTGGAGAGAGGCATGCCTTTTGTACCTGTGTTTATGAAGCAGACATGAGAATAGTGTGGCCGTTCACTCCCAAGCTACCATGTAACTCTTGTCACTTTTCTCTGAGTGATCCAGAGCTGAGTGTCATCCCTCCCCAGGGCTTACCTATTCTTTCTCTGTTAATCACAACTGTAGATATTGCCAAACTTAGGGCTGGGCTCTATTCCGTGCCTCATAAAATTCAAGGTGTCTTTCAACACCATAACAGGGGTGATTTGCTCTCAGACTATGGCTCTGCTTCCTGAGTAGGAACATCCGCATAGCTTATGGTTCTAAAAGAGAGATAAAGTGAATGCCGAGGGAACAAACCTTCCTTCTTTCTCCACACACCTGAATTTCTGTCCTTTCTGCTCCCCCAACCCAACCCCTTCCTTGGATTGTTGCTCGCTTACGAGGGCTGGAAAAGCAGAGCACTCCTTTATACATCTGACTCTCAGCTAGGGGATATCCTGGAGAGGCTGGGACGGTGTTACAGCCAAGGATGCAGTGCTACAGAGATAGTCTGATCATCCTATAGTGCACAGAGTCTCCACAACAGGTGACCCAGAGAAACTGACCTCTTAGTGCTGAGTACCACCTGCCCAGGCACACTGATGACAGAGCCACCATCTCCTGACCACAGTGCTCCTGGCTGCTGTGAAGGGCATACTTCTCCTGTATCACCAGGACATAGCTGTTTGGAGACTCTGCCTGTAGACACTTTCCCTAGCCATATTCCCTCTACCTCTGTTCATCCCGCCCTTCCCTGGATCTCATCATCGCCAGGACAGCAAAGCAACCAGGCAAGAGCAGCCAGCTCTCATCCTTGGCTGAGGTCAGGGCTCCACTACCACCCTCTTGATCCTACCAAGAATGCTTAGGCCAACTCAGTCCCTGTGTTTATGAAGTGTGCATGAGGACCCATCGTCTCCTGTAATTCAGTGATTACCCAGTCTGGACAGCTTCTAGTTGCTTGTCCAGGTTGCCTCCCTTGGCCTATCAATATGATAATCTGTGTTCACCATCTTCCCGCCAAGAGCTAGCAGAAGCTTGGCAGTCACACCATAGAGGAGAGGATGCTCTGCTCTCTCATTTTCACATCACTTGACCAGGTTGCCCCTGGATGGGATGTTGGTTAGTGGAACTTGGGACAGAGTGGCAAGTGAGGATGAATGTGTAAGTCCACTGTACCTCTGTCTTGTGGCATCATATCTGTTATCCAAGCCCTGTTCCTAGATCCTGAAGCGCCCTTGTTTAGCACCCACAGCCTCAGGATTACCTGCCCTAGCAGTATGGGCAAGTACCTTAGACACCCTGTTACTTGACAGCATGTAGGTACAGAAGGTCCCTGGCAACCTTTCAGAGGGGAACTTGAGTGTCGCAGAGATACTTAACATTTGGGGTCTTTTGCCTCCATATTACGGAGCCATGTGAGATCTTTAGTGGGATTATAATGCTGTGTTCATCTTAAACTGGCTGAGGAAGTGTGAGACACCCCTCTTCTCATTAGTGGGCATTTTGCTTTGATCCAAAGGAGAAGCCAGGATGAAATTACTGTCCTCCTTAGATCTAATTGTCAGTTTGATAGCCTAGTGTCAGTCATCGGAGAGGAAATGCTGGGCTGAGGAATTGCCTAGATCAGATTTGCCAGATTGGTCTGTGAGGATTGTCTTGATTATTAACTGATGCAGGAGGGCCCGTGATGAGTGGTACCATTCCTAGGCAGATGCTCCCGGGATGTAAAAGAATGTTAACTGAGCATGAGTGTGACAGAACCAGCAATGATATTCCTCCATGCTTTAGGCTCCTACCTGAGTCTCTACCCTAACACTTCCCTCAGAGACAGACTGTGACTTGGAAGTGTACAGCACCTAAATCCTTTTCTTCCCCGCATTGCTTTTGGTCAGAGTGAGTTTTGTTTTGTTTTGGTTTGTCTTTACAACAGCAGAAATCAAACTAGAGAATGCTGAGAACAGAATCTCAAAAGCTTGACTGGCCTCGATTGCTGGGGACAGTCCTGTGAGAAGACATGGCAGTCCAGCTGTTCTCAGTCCATGAGTCCTCCCTCTCTGGACAGCACAACCTTGAAGGACTCTACAGAGATGAGAAATGCTGCCCTTCCCTCCATAACTTTCCTTTCTCCCATTGCCAACAACCCGCGTCCCTTCATTCTTTGCTTGAGACAATGCAGGTTTGAAGTATGAGGAGGGCTCTGTGGACCTGAGGCCTGTCAGCCTCCCTCTGAAATGTGTGTGTCAGGGCTGCCTGGGAATGGGATCATACTGGCCAGTGAAAGTCACTGGACAAAAATGAAAGGGAGTAGCTCAGGCTTAATTAAAGGAAAAAGTAAAGGCTCAAATGATGACCAGCAGCAGGAGATAGATTTGTGACACAAATCTCACTTTTGTTTTTCTCAAGGCAACCTCAACATGTTTATTTTTTTTAAAGATTTATTTATTCTTTTATTTATTTGAGTACACTGTAGCTGTCTTCAGACACACCAGAAGAGGGCATCAGATCCCATTTACAGATGGTTGTGAGCCACCATGTGGTTGCTGGGAATTGAACTCAGAACCTCTGGAAGAGCAGTTGGTGCTCTTAACCACTGAGCCATCTCTCCAGTCCCCTCAATATGTTTATAAGTGCCTCATTTGTGTGGCT